GTTCTCTAAATAGGTTATGACTGAGGCTTATGGGAGATATGATAAGGGGTAAGTAATGGGTCTTTCAAATGTCTACAGAATGCACTCATGGGGCTTTAAAACAAATTGCCTTTTCTAGTTGCTAACCAGAGTTCCAAATACTTTAATATACTTAATGAGACAAGTCTAGGAGACAACATCGATTGGCTATCATTTTCTTTTTGTTAACAGGGCTGGTGCCCTTAGGTGATTTAATGTAATTATTCAATATCACTAAATATTATTATTAATTACTCAGTATTGTTGAGCTACTGTACTTACTAAATGTTGGTGCCATTTTATTATTAATATCTATTGATAATCGTATTATTAATGTAATAACAGAGAGGGGAATAGAGCTGAAACAAGTGGTTTCAACAACCACAGATAAAGTCCCTGCAAACTATTTTCTCTCTTTAGAAGATGAGAATAATATGTCGCTTTTGTGTGACAAAGAACATTTATTTATTATTAGAGTATTTATTATTTACAATTCATCCAGTTCAATTTGACATCTGACAATAAATTATGTTTAGAAATTATTCAATTGAACTTTCTATATTTGAAACGACAGTTTCAGTACGACAGTCTACATACAAACGTTAATACAACTATTATATACGGTATATTATATATGTGTTACTGTATCTATCATAGACAGCATATCAAGTTGTAACTATTAAAAAAAACTGTATAAGGGTTAAAATTCATGTTCAACATAGCAGAAGTACATAATGTTTAATGGATCAGTGAGTGTATTCAGCAGTTTATTGAAGCAAGCTGCACTACTAAGTAGTAGCAGCAGAAACTACTCAATAGAAATACAAACATTTGTACGTCTAGGATAGTAATAACACTTTCTCTGAAGTCATTCCAGTTGTAGAATTAGATCATATTACATATGATATAATATTAATTCACTGTCTCTCTTTTGAGTTATATTGCTTTCTAACTTTATGGTTGACATTGTCAAGCGTCACATATTATTCCCCATGCTATAAGCCATACTTCATCTTGCACAAACATTTGTTCTGTCTTACATGCTACCGGTACAACACGAGTAGGCTACAGTTCTCCGAATGAAAAGGAACAACGGGGAATCTTTTTCCAGTATAAGTGTCCATAATTTGCACATTGACAGCTGAATACCCACATGAATGACACACATGGTGACAGTAGGATACTCAGTCTGTTTGTGGTTCCCTCCATGCAGAGGAAATTAAGTATAAGTGTATCTCATGTTTTGGTGTTTTGAAGGGTTATGTACTCTGTGAGTAAGGTTGTATGCCTGTGCAACAACAATCAATGGAAAATCTTACTTGAGCTGGTACAATACCAGCAAAATAGAGAAAACAACCCTCTTTAAAACAATAAAGATGATTAACTTGGCTGTAAATCATCTCAAACGAATGAGAAACAGGAAGTCCTGGTGTGCAGTGACAAACAAAAAACAAATCTCTGAAAGGTTGACCCAGACTGTTTCAACACAACCAACCCACAGATACTCTGCTCATGCCCATTTCTCGAGCTAGAAAGTTGGCAGCACAACAAAGACCGATGAGATGTGATGGTTTTATGACCCCACCAGACGCACACGCGCTCACTGACAACCCACAGGTCTACTGAACCAACGGAAAAACTCCTGCTACTTCAGATGGCAGCCCCTGCAGAATCTCCACGTGACTTCGGATACGAACAGGAAAGGACCAGTATCTGGACTGCCAAGGTCTTTGTTGAATCACAACTGCGTGAGGGCGGTGATTCAACAGGAAGGTAAACTGACTGCGCTCCTCATCATCATGGCATCCGGGAAAAATTAGGAGGACCAAGTCTTCTCCAAACTTAGTTGCGCCTCATACACGCACACACAAACACACACCTCTGCATGAATATATCGGCAACCGTCAATTGTTGGGTTTATTTTTGTTTTTAGGAACCACTGGGCTTGAGGCCGACGGACACAAAAGTTGCAACATATTGATATAGAAACTAACACACTAGCCTCCGTTGACAATAGGCGTTTTTGGACCAAACTGCTCTGGGACTCCCTGGGAGGAGCTGCCAACTGGGAAGCTACCCTGAGACTTGCATACCTTTAAGGTTTTTTTTCTGTTTGCCTTCGCACTACCAATATGAAGTGAAGTGATGTAGGCTGGCCTGAGCTGCTCGCACACATCTCCAGCTGGGAGATCGGCAAGTGGCGAGTTCGCTACAAGCTCTCCTATTTATTTTTTATTAACACAAGGAAAATAGCCGCCATCCAACAGTGATTTCAGACTGCTTCGGCTCAATAGGAGTGTAAAAAAAAACAACTCAAAACGCTGTTCTATGAACTACAAACGTTCCTAGTTCTTAAAAACCGGGGTACTTGGAACTCTAAAAACAGATCTTAAAGCAGGTAAATCTTTCCGTTACTGACATATGACCAAACGTGACCCTTTGAAGTGAATTAATTGCATGAGCAGCTCATTAAGAGTAATGCTAAATGACATGCTTTAATGTAACAACAGTGTCTGCGCCACATCGATCATAATTTGAGAGCTACCGAGTGTGACAAAGTGCCGATCCTCTGAGGCACGGACCTGCGTAAACATCTCGTTCACAGCCACTCGTTTCAACAACATTCCAATTATGATTAACAAGGCCCTCTGCCTTTCTGTACCCTTAATAAACAAGGTTTTCATTGCATTTGCGTGCCTGCATGCATTTCTCTGTAGTTAGCTGTAGTCTAGTTTGCTTTCTGGCATAACATCAATTCTCTAATCGCAAAACGCCTTGAATGTCTGTTAAATTACATTAAATTAAAAGCCGTTCTGAAATCTTCCAAACACTACTCTTCATTTCGCACTCCTGACAGTCAGCAGACACATCTTGGACTCCACACCCCCCCGCCTTGCATTGGTTTCTATTGAATCGGAAACAGCTCCCTCTCGGTTACCCGGATGGCGTCTCTCTCTCTTCCCTAGAAGAACCCAGTGCACCGCTCAGGCCATGTGATGTTCCGCAGACAGTTGGAAGTGTCACTTGTGCTGCGTTATCCCTCTTCTCTTCTCTTCTCCGTCAAAGCCGAACCACAGTGGCGGGCATGACTCACTGAAGTGCTGTACTTTCTAATGACACGAGAGCGGAGGCTGAGTCAATCTGACCTGACAGTCTTGCATAAATCACGGGCCCCACGATTTAAGTTGCTTTGAGGAGTGTCAACAAATCCACAAGAGGAATATTAGACTCTGCTGTAGGTAGGGACTCCGCCTCTGAGAACTCATTATGGGGCGTCTTCCTTCATGCTGTGTTGACTGAATTGCAGAGGTTATTTCTGATTCACTTGCAGAAGCCTGCGTTTTAAATTCCCCCACTAGTGATAACGGTCCACCAGCACCCGAAAGACCATTTCAGGGGGAATATATATGGAGTTTTAAATGGGTGAATTTTTGGAAGTGCGCTTCAACAGCAGGTTTGGCCTGCAGTACACATGTATACAACTGATCCTCAAATGGCAGCATTTTGAACCTTTTGTTTGCCACACCCAGCAGCAGTACAGCTAGTATTTACAAAAGATAGACAAGCATTTCAACTCGGCAAACTTTTATGGCTCCAGGCTCTTTTCTACCATATTGGCAGCTAGTCCAAAAAAAAAAAAAAAGAGGGGGCAACTTAATCAAACGTGAGGGATCTAAAACATCAGGGAGGGCGATTGTAAGATGGTTTCAAGCGATGATCAAGAGGCTGGAGAAAGAAGTGCGTGATTCTTTTCCCATTATGGGAGAGGAACTGTAGCCCTGCTAGTTCGCTACTCGAGGGCATGGGAGGGAGTATTATAGAAAGCTGTTGGTTTATGTGTCTGTCAATATCAGATCTTTTCAGGATCACAGTTCAAGGCGAACAGCAAGGATAAAAGGGGGGGGGGGGAACTGGTACATTGCTGAGAGGGTGCTGGTAGGTCAAAGGACCTTCAAGCTGCTAGTGGATATTGTGCTCTTCAGTCATTTGAAGGCGGCCTATCGGATGATACCAATAGGCGGCGGAACAAAAAGGATGTAAATAAGTACAGCATGGGTTTCTGTGCAAAAGGCTGAGGGTGTGACAAACGGATACAACTTGCATGAGTACGTTATTTACATCTTAATATTTTGGTTTGGTAAGGTTAATGCTTTGCAAGCCTACATACTGCAGTTAATATTATTCCCCCCCAGTCAAGCCTTCCATTCTCACACATATTGTTATCCAATACCGTCTAAATAAACAACAGTTCGATTTTTTTTCTTATACAAGAACTGCAAATTTCCTTTTCAGATTTTTGCTGAGCAAACTAAGCAACCTGGTGTATAAGGGGCACGGGAAAACCACAGATTTCCCAAGAATGTCTGAAAAGTGTATTTGCAGTGCAGATCTCAGATCATTTTCTTTCAAAACTGCAACCACCCATGGGCTTGTAAAGCTCCAGCTGGAAAGTATTCCCGAGGAGAACAGATTCTACCCCAGCAGGGGCCACAGGGATGCAGCAGGAGAGAGTAAAAGAAGCTCATTCTGTTGATTCAATTACGTTGATTTAGCTGCTCGGCTTTCTCCTGCTCATAAATGATTAACTTTAAACGGTAGATCTTTGCTGAGATGGTTCATGTTTGGATCCAGATTACATTTATTTTTAGTACAGCTCAAATCAAAATAAGATCCAGCCTCTGGTTAAAATATTGATTTCGCAATGATTCTTTGTTTTTTTTTTAATCCAGTGTTTTTATGTTTCCCTGCAGCTGCACAAGAAATGTGTCTTCTGTGAGAGTAAACATGACGTTGACGGTTCATGAGAAGTTTGTCAGAATCATGAAAATGTATTTCTCTGTCGGTGTGTTTTTGTAATACGATATTATGATGACAGCGGGTTTTGTACACCACCACACGTTTTAGGACGAGTTTCCATACTAATGCCAGATTAAAAGAAGCATAGGAATCAAAAAAGCAATGAAAATCCTGTCAATACTTACTCGTATACTTTCAGCTTATAACACTGGCTGTTCAAAAACAGAAACTCCCAATCGGGTCCATAGTCGATGGCCAGCTTTTTCCGGAGATCACTAGGAAAACCAAAAAAACAACACATTAGACCACTAGCACGCATTAGGCTGGATTTTTTTGAATTATGGAATTCAGTTATTACTGATGCAAAAATTGTAAGCAATTAAAAAGTTGCATCTGAAAACATGGCACTCAAAAACCTTAAATTACACTCGTGGTATAGTTTTAAGCAAATAACTCCAGGTACTATAAAAGGACAGGTTTAAAAATATGCCTAAAAATAAGTTATGCAATACGAGAGAAATAATTGTTGTTGGATGTAGGTCATTTGTTCCAAGTCTCTGACAAGCTGCTCTAATAACGTCTAGATGACTCCTAACTGTGCCGACAATGTAGCTTTATTTTCCTTGCTGCTTTTAGTGACTTCTTGAATAGTGTGTTGATGAGGTGGCCCTTTAAAGCCCATTTCTATGCAGCGTCTCCAATTATCTGAGCTGGTGAGGGCTGCTTTTCTCCACTAATCGCTAACAAGGGAACTAAGCCCTATCTCTAACGGCGCACAGGCCCTTATTTCCATATTCATAGCCCAGAACTGCTAATGGGGTTAACAAATGTTTGGAGCGGGTGATTGTTTCGCTTTAGGTTGATAAGGTAGGGTGGCATAAGGGGATGATTCGGGGTCAGAAAAGCAACGCAGGTTGCGTAACTGTGTGTGCATGCCATTCTCCGTAGGGCAGGGGGTCATAACATTCATGCATAGAGTCAATGTTTGTGGAAATTACCCTTTACAGCACACTCAAGGAATAAAAGGTGTGGACTAAGAAAGGAAGAGACTTTATTTTCATGCTAGTTTCAAAAAGGTATGAATGCAAGAGCGCTGCACACTGATAAAGGACATGGCCTGAAGAGAACATGGGGGATCCTCTCCAACACACATAAATGTGAGTAAACGACCGGGAGCAATGCGGACAAAGAAAGAGCGAAACTGAGGTCATGCCAGCTTATTTCTCCCCCCCCCCATGCATTGTTTAAGGGGGGAAAAATCTTGACCTTTTGGTCTGTGGATGGCTCTCCTCTCCGCCTACTGTAATGAACAGTTCGCAGGCCTAAGGGCCACAGTAGCTACTTATCATCTATTGCTGGCTGGCTCAGAGCTCTGAGAAAACATCCGAGAGGGAGGAAAAGCATGTCACAGGCAATCTCACCCAATTTTTCTCGATGGAAATATACGGGCGTAGCTAATTTGTTGTGACAGCAATTCCTTTTCTTAACAATAATACAAAAATAATTGCAGCGTTTGACGGCACTAATTTGTGCCATGTCTGTCTTTAGAATGCCACAAAGACATTTCGGACAATTTGTACCCGGGAAGACACTCCCCTCAAAATGAGTTTGAATAGGTCCACCCAGCAGAGCACAGTAGGCAATAGAGTTTGTTTTTCTTCATTCAAATTAGCCTTAGGTATTACAGTACAAATAATGCAGCTTTCTTCACTGCTAAAGCACAAACTGATGGAGTCTATTTTAAAGCCCAGTTACAAACACAGCAGTGTGAGAAGCATTGTCCACACGAAGTGCAGAATGTTGACGATTGAGCCACAAGTACGTGACAATCGACGCTAACCTCTACTTCTACCTCATTGCCCTTACCTTATTTCCATGTTGACTGTCTCGTAGGCTTCTTCGACTTTCTTCAGATTGGTAGCCTCCCACTCTGCAGCTAGACAAAACAAAAGGTCGCACAAATTAACACTGTGGAGTCGTTGCATCTCAGCAGCTGCCAAAACAGTGGGCGCTAAAAATAGGCTGTGATATCCAAGCCCGGCGAGTAGCAAGGTTGCAAATAAACAGAAAAAAAAATGCTATTTCCAGGTGTGGTAAACTGCCGAAAGACCCGCAGGCTTATTAGCCTCTTTACTCCGACAACTGTGTTTACCAAGACAGAAATGAAAAGAGTGAGTGTGAAAACTGCAAAGGTGGCCACAGCGATGATATGTTTGTCTCTCTTTGTCACACTAGGTAAAATAAACATAAATTAAACATAAGATGTGTAAACTACACTGTTTGCATATTTTTATGGCCACTTTACAAACCCCAGAGGGAAATATTTGGCTCTTTTGCAGCTAAATGCTCCGCCGTCTTCAGTAGCTAGTTGCTAACCTCGTCTCAGACATTTAGTGTTGGGCAGGTAATGTGCAGTGTCAGTTTTTCAGGGCTGAAAACAGTCTCCCGATGGCGTTGGAAAGATTTTTTTTTTTTAGGCCGTAAAACCAAACAATGAGATGAAAGACACTTAACACTCTGCAAAGCTGAGAGGAACTGCAGAGCCGAGCGATAATTCTCTGTGGATTTGTAACTACAAGCAAGTCCTTACATATTATTGTCGGCATTTAATCAAATGGGATTAATAAAAACGGTACAGTGCAGCTAAAGTCCTTTATCAGCGAAGAGGCAAAACATTTGCTGGTTCCATCCTCTTCCATTTAAGAGTCAGCCCCCCTTACTATATATCTGATTCCTTAAACTCCCTCAGAAAACCACAGTCATACAAAAAGGAATGTTCTCTCTCGCATACTCAGATTTCCTATCTTGCCCTATTTCTCTCTCCGTCTTTCTCGCAGACACACACACACACACATCATGAGGCTCAGCATTGACAAAAGGAGACGCAGAATCCCACGGAGGGTGACATTTGACCCCTTGCAGCAACCTAGTCGAGTATGGAGAGAGTGGTGACGGTAAAGGGGGGGGAGAGCTGAGGAGGGAGAAGGCTGGGAAAGCAGCCAGGCGTACAGAAGCACCCAAAGCAGGGAACACAGGGCGAGGAAAGCCTCTGGAATGGTCTCTGCACCAGTCAGGCCGACATAACCCGAGGCCCATGTACAGTATACCAAAAAAAAAGACCTCGCGCTTACGGTTTAATGACTGCGGAGATTAGATTAACGGTCATACGGTCAACGGACGTGATGCTATTACAATCACAGCAAGCATAAATGAACTGCTCAAGCCCGTTTTTTTATGTGCTCACGTCTTTTAAACCTAATCAACTTAATGGCTCACTTCAACAATGAGATCCTAAAAAATATTTATCATCGTACATTAAAATAAATGCCTTTCTCTCAACTAAAAAAGTCTCTCTACAATCACAGGGTATTCACATAGCAAAATGTAGGACAAATGATTTAAAGTTCAGCAAACTTGACCAGCAGATGACATTTTCCACTTGCACAAGTGTACTGTGGAAGCACTAGACGCTATTCAAGAGGGTTTTCGAATCACAGAGGCCGTGCACAGAAATAGAAGACGAGGAATACGCTGTAGAGTATATGCCATCTTCTGTCGGAACTCTCCTGTGCATACATACCTTGAGCCGGAGACCAGAGACGCTCCGTTTACATGCAAAACAAATCAATAAGCAAGGCGATTTCTCTGCAACTCTAAGAAAAGAAGCCTGCAAGTCTGTGCAGTGTGCGCCGCGGTGATGTCTAACGGAAGAAGGGCAATGCAGTGAGGCCACTCTTGAACCCCACGCTGGCAACAGACACCTTTAGCGAGATTACGTCGACTATCTTAGCACATGTAGGAGTTTGCTTTGTTTTCTGTAAAAACCTGCTCTTTAAAATAAAGCCTGGCAGTATGCTCAACCTTCCATGTTGGATCCTATTCCCTTTCCTTCAACCCCCCCATACATCAACCCCCTTTTTCCTTTCGACGTGAACGTTCTCCTCTCTTCAATATTTTCAGCATGAACTCCTCAGAGTCTCTCTGTCAGCCCCACCATTTGGCGAACTAGTTCCGACTGCAGAGTGGGGAGGGATAAAATATAGGTTAAGGACTCCTGTAATGAAATGTTTATGGCAGGTGGTAACAACGAACGAGAGAGGCCTTCCAGATCCTGTCAAACATGGCTGGCTCCTGCATTAATAGCCACCTGCAAGCACCAAACACGACGGCCCCACAGGTGCTAATTACCCTATTTATTTAGCCAGTCAACTAATGTAATAAGAGAACATTACATGCCAGAAAAAAAAAGATAAATGTTTGCATTTTAATCTTAAATAGAACATGTTCAAAAACAAAGAATAGTAATTAAACAAATATTCAATTAAAATACTAGAGTTAAACTTTATCCAACCAAATCTCACAAATGATTCTGAAACTGCAGCACAGGCTGCTGGGAGTTGGGAAGAGGTCAATCTCGCCCCCCTGCATAATATTTGTGTTGGAGTGTCTGATTGTATTAGGGTTGAGTGAATAACAGTGGCTGGCAGAAATAGCATCATGTTTCGAACCATCAGTGCAATTCATAGCCTTGTGACTGACTCAGTTTGTATTCAGTCTCCCACACTCTCCCGCAACACTCTTCTTTATCAACTGTAGCTGAAGGACAAGCACAGGACGCACTGAAATTAAGAATGGGTCCATTCACTACGCAGCCGCCGTTGTATCCAATCACCAATAAACATTCAAGTGATTTGCCAGGAAGGAATGAGAAACATTTCAGCTTCACAAATGTTTAGATTTGCTAACTATTCTCTATTTTATTCTGTTAATATTCTTATTTGTGCTTTCTTGCCAAGAGTTGGAGAGGAGATTGATACCACCTGTTAAATACGAAGCTACAAACAGCAGCTGGTTAGCTTACCTTAGCCTAAGGATTGTCAACTGGGAAACAGCTGGTCTGCTTCTGCCTGAACGTAATGAACCGGCAAGCACATCTGGTATTTTACATTTGTTGAATTTGTATAATATCAAGGTGTAAAAAAAATGACACATTGTGGTTTTACGCGGTGTCACCGAACCATTCCTCGGCTGCGGCGAAAGGGACTTTCTGGAGTCTTGTCATCATCATTAAGTTGCCAGCAGAGTCACTGCTCTCGGCCAAGATATAGTCTGGCACATAACTCCCTGTAACACCCCCCCCGGTAGCTTACCATATAGGATAGCTTTAAGATATTCTCGTTTAACTGTCATATTTCTCAAAATGTCACACTATTCCTTTAAATAATGTATTGTTTTCTTGAGGTTTTAGACCCAATTTCATGCATGACTTACTGAGAAGCGCTGTACCCACGAAACAGCGGTAAATGCAGCAGTCGGAGTCAATTGCCCGTATTCTCATGCGTAATCACTGTTTAACATTTTAACAGAGAACGGGGGGCCCAATGAACAGAGTAAACAGTCTGTGCGGAGTGAGTTCACTCTGCAACAACTGGGTGCTGTTTATGAATATGTATGATGTAACAAACGCCTAGGAGCTGACCTACTTCTGTGTCTCCTCTGCTCATGACTTGGTCCCCTTCCGGGGTAACTCTGTCATCTCGCAACATACTGTAATAGCAGGAAGGATGTGACTCTCATGTACGAATCAACATGCTCCCTTTTGATGGTTTTGCGAGTGATGATGACCGTCTGCTGAGGGAGCACGCTCGGTAGGAACAGAAGACGCGACGACAGGCTATTCATTCAGTGCACGAGAGTTTTGACAAGTTTTTATCAGTTCATACTTGCCTAAATGTAGACGTTGAGATGAAAAACATCGATTTGCACTGGTTCTGAGGGAGTCTTGTTTAAAAATAAACAACAAATGACTGAATATGTACTCAAGTAGTTGTGTGACGTGAATGCAAGGAAATGGAGAAAATGTGTGATGGACAAGTACGCGCATACAAAAGAGAACTCTCGACATAACTAGGGCTGCACACTGGAGAGTACTCGTCTGCACCATCTCATAAAATATCTTTATCTGGGATCATCTTGGTGTAGTGCCAAACGCTGTTAGCTTCAGGAGCTGGGAAAGGGAAAAAAAATAAAATCTATTTCAGACAACATGAGACACAAAAATCTGGCAGCCGCTCAAATCAGACTTCCAACATTTGATGAGTGGAAACGGGCTAATTTGGTGTATCCCTCAAATGGTTGCAATCCAATACATTCCTCCTGTGGCTATCGGAACACACTGCAAGGGTGAGCGAAGGTGAGAGGCAAATCGTTTCAACCTCTTGCCAACGAAAAAAAAAAATAAAAAATGTAGCTTGTTCTATAAAGGAAACTTGGTAGATATTTTCTCAAGCTGCTCCTCCCTCGACTCTTCCTTTGCTCCTTCTGTCGAACCAGCGCTCAAGGTGAGGACAATTATGTTTTAAGGACGCGTCGCCCTCGGCCCGGGGTCAGAGGTCTCCGCGAGCCCCGTATTAACGTCAAGTCCCTCCCTGCCTAACATTTCACATCTAATTTGGAAAGTGCTGAACGGAGCCTTTAAACACCATCAGCCCTTGCCAAGGTTTGTAACCCGCCGGAGCTCCGATCCCAGGGCTCTCGTACGCGCTGAAGCGCTGCGGCCTCACATCACATGCCAATTCATTTGTTGAGTGCCGGGATGCGTCGTCTTAGAAAAGCTCCCCGGTCACCCCGATGTGAACTGAGGGACATGTTAAAGCTGTCTGTATGTGGGAGACAGAAGTCTAGCAATGCAATTTATGTTAAGAGCCGTCATGCCAGCAGCAGAGGCGTGTGGATAGAAAGCATAATACCAGAGTAATGGTAACGTTAAAGAAGAGAAGACGTAACTATGATCTGCTTCACACCAAAATAGATTAGATGGATACTTTATCAATCCCGCAAGCAGAATGTTTTTTGCTACAGTAGCATTTGTAGGTACAGGTAAAGCAATGCAAATGACAGAGTAAAAACTATACTACGCCTGTCCCGTGGTAGACA